TCCAGGGATGGGGGTGGGGGGGAGCTCTTCCCAGATTATGGCTTTGTCTCTGCAGGTTGATTGTTCATGCAGCATTAGAGATGAAGCTCAGTGTAGCACAAGGGCCGGGCACCAGCGGCAAGTGCAGGCATTCCCGCTCTCAGCCTAATTTAAAATTTCAGCTGATGATAATAATTTAACGTGAATAATTTTACTTTGAAAGTACTCTGAGGGAACGTCACTGAAGTCATTTTCCGGCCTGAGCACATTTATGGATCCTATTGAGTTTTTACGCTTCGCCGCGGGGAGTTCCTCTCTGCCGAAACCACTCCGAACCGCCATTGCGCGGTTCAGCGCCAGAGCCGGCCAGGTGTCCGGGGCTGACGCAGAGCGCCTGTGCGTTATTGATTTCGGACGGGAGGAGGGAGCACGCTGATGGATTGTGAGCAGGCACACCTGGCCCTCAGCCTGACTTGGAACAGAACGCCGTCATGCTCGTTTGCCTTCAGCTGAGCTGGCTGGAGCCTTTGCCCCGCCCCCCTCACCAGTGTTCCGAGCCCCGGCGCCGCAGCGCGCAGACGTGACTCGAGACCAGCCTCGGATAAAATAGATGGCTGCTTGTTTTCGAGTGTGAAGATTCCCCGCCATCTGTCCTACGGCGCCTCGTCCTCCGATGGGGGTTTATATTGCAGTTTTTGGAATGCTCTTCAGATAAATGTTCTCTTTTCTCGTCTGCGGAATGCGTTTATGTGATCTATAGTTCTCGCCTTTCCCTCGTCAGAGCGCAACGCACAGCGATCCGGCAGTTTTGTTTTGTGCGTAGAACTCAGGAAGTAAAAAATCACAATGTATATAAAATTCCCTCATCTGTAGCAAAACCTAAAGAGATTTCTGGTCAAAAACGAAATATTTCTCTCCCGCCCCTAATAAAAGTAGCAGCGACCTCATCACTGGGCTCTACATAGCCTGTGCAGAAAGCAGAGCTGTGGGAGGAGCCCAGTAGGCCCCGCCCACTACCGGTACCTACAGGAGGGGGTGGAGACATGACCAGTCACCCTGCACAAGGAGAGAGAGCGGCAGTGAGCGGTCTTTATTACAGAAGGGGGCGGAGACCAGATGAGTCACCCTGCACAAGGAGAGAGAGCAGCAGTGAGCGGTCTTTATTGCAGGAAGCTCCAAGTCTCACACTGGATTGCTGCACAGATCTGGAAGAAATACACAAAGCTCACCAAGATTCAAGGTGACAATATTTGCTTATCCCGGAGTTCAGCATTTCGAGTTGTCACCAGAACAGGAATAGAAGTATGTTCCTATGGGGACATTTGTTCTGGTGACAACTGTGTAAGAGGTGAATTACCTTATGTTGTAGAGGTGTCACCTCCCTTCCTGATGTGTCTACAGGACAGGAAATGAAGGGAAATCTCTTCGATTGGCAAAAAACCCCAAAACTGACGGGTTTGAAGATTTTTCTTCTCTATTCAAAATGGAAACAATGTTCTAATATTGAATTGTCTTCATTTCCTGTTTCCCGGGAGTGTTCCTCGTAATGATACTTTGTAATTACACACACAGCTCCTCATTAAGAAACAATGAACTGTTTTGTAATTATAGGCGGCCGT